CCAACTTCGAAAAAAATTCTGTGCTTCCAGATATAAAACTAAAATAGATTTGCTGAGTTTTAGGGCTAGCATTTCCTGGGTTCCAGTCTCCCTCTCCCAGCAAGCTGACTGAAATCACTGCAAGGCTTACTTATTTCCAGACTATTTTTCTCATCTTCTCACATGCTTTCTTTGCTCTGTTTTCAGTTTGATGCTCATTCCTGTGTTACTGACACACTTGCACCTAATCTTCATCTCTTTGGTAAACACAATCTCATCATCCTTCCCTCATCTTTCTGTGATCCATGGTCTCTTACTAGATTTCAAGAGGGCTTTCAATCTAAAGCAACTATCACCTCAAGCTATTTATTTCCTGAAAATATCTCATGTTTGTGTTACTCAATGTCCACAGTTATTTCTCATCTACTGATTGAAATTCAATAGAGAATACTGCTGTCTTCTCCGGGACTTCCAGGCTACCTCACACTGCTGAGAATTTAACAGAACTGGACATTAGGCTTCTCTGTCTCCTTTTCCCCAAGCAAGTGCATTTGGTATTTGCAGTTCTAGCAAAGACAAATTTGGCATGGTCTGTCCTTTCCCTCGAAGGTGAACTTGCTATTTTCTCACCTGCATCACAAATGTGTTCTCTCCCTACCTAGAATTCCCAGAAGAGGAAATAAACACATAATCCATCGGACTGAAGACGTACCTCACAGGGGATTATCCCAGTATTGTCTTTAACATACAGGCAACCATCTACCAGCTTCTCTTTGTCCTCTTGCCTTCCATCTGTTAAGTAGCCAACCAAGATCAGATAAGCCCGTGGCAAGGGGCCCTGGACGGATAAAGCACCTTGCCCTTGATGAGCCCATTCCTTAAACTCTCTAGTGCTCCAGGTCAGGTGGCTGCAGCACGGTGTGCTCTGTTGATGGTGTAGGTCAGAGATAGATATGAAACTGCAAGAAAAAAAGCAAAGAACATAGGATGATGCAGGAAAAACCCAGTTGCCAGAGTTTGAAGATCACAGTGATGGCTGCAGTGGCCCAGAGGCTACATGACAAGAAGTGACCCACTCGCTCGCGTTTGTTAAGGATCTCTCACAGCTCTGTCAGCGTTATCTGTTCTGCCTGAACATCATCTCTGAAGAGAGACTCTTCTGCACTAAAGTCACCTGGCTAGGCACACAGAATACTTGAGGAAAACAAAGTAATTGAGGGTTGACAAACAAAGCATGTTTTCATACATGCGTGAAGGTTGATGGGAGTGAGAACTCCCATCAGTTCCATGCCCATCAGACCGTGCATTTTTAACATGAATATGGGAGAACATGAGAAAACTCCAGCTCAGGACAGTCTACCTGTCAGCAAGGAATGCTGGTAATCGGACTCTTTTCATCACTAAGTGCTACGCAGGGCCATCAAGCTAGCAACCTTAGGCTGTGTCTGCGTTTCCAAGATCACATCCATGCTAGCCTCTTGAAAATTTAAACTTGCTCTCTTTTTTTTTTTTTTTTTCCCTCTCCTTTTCACAGGGTGAGGAGGAAGCAAGGGGGTGTTTTTAGAAGGGGTTTTTTAACTCTAAATATCACCTACAGATCAGGCTGTTTCCAGTTCAAGCACAGCAGAAGCTCAAACCAAGCAAAGCACTGAACTGGGGAGCTGACAGCATCCTCACCGGACCCTTGGCCTTCTCTGTATGACTGGTAACATTCAGCATCACTGGTTCCATCTTAGCTGCCTATGCCAGAGAACTAACAGAATTCCACGCTAACCATCGCCACCGACAGAGCTAATACCAACTGGCCTCCAGCAAGTGAGTTCAGTACTTGCTCTCAGTGAGGTTTTGAGATTGTGAAACCCTCTGCTCATAACACTGCCTTGCTCAATGGTGGGAGATAAGCTTAAGCAAGATGAATCTGAGGGGCTTGGCTTCACCAGGCAGTTACCAGAGGTTCAAAGCCACAATCCTGCCTAGATAAAGGATAGGCCTGACTCAGCTACACCTACAAATATTACTTGCACAACTAACTCATCACAAGAGACGAGCACATGTGGATACTCATGTTGCATATTGGGCAGGAACGCCGCCAGGAAAAGGAGCAGCTGAAAAGGAGAGCGGAAAACCGCTCTATCCAAAGGGATATTAGAGACAGGGCGCCACCGGGAATGATGCCCGCAGGCAGGGGCCAGTGCTGCTCCGGTTCCCAGCACACGTGCCGCCTGTTTCTCGGGACACACCACAACTGAACTGAATCCTGGTGATTGCCTCAGAGGGCGACCGGTCGCTCTGCCCGTGCTACGGAGCTTGGCGGCACGCAGACCATCCCGACAAGCCAACCGCCTGCCCGCCTCATACAACCATCAACGTCCTTTAACTCTTCTCCGTGAACTGCCCTGAGCAATCATTAAAATGGAATAAAGACACCCCACGCCCTTTCTGACGTTATGAAACGCAGCCCGCACAAAACCGAAACGCGCCAGCGGGCCGGCTCGGAGCGACGCCCCCCCCCCGCGCCGAGCCCGTGGGGTCACGTGGGCACGGCGCTCACCGCCCGCGCCGCGCATGCGCACGCGTCACCTGTAGGCGAGCGGCAGGCAGCCGCCGCCCGCGGCGCGCACGCAGCGCAGCACGGCGGCCTCGGCCTCGGCCTCGGCGGCGTCACGGGGCTCCCTTCGCCTCCGCCGCCTGCC